ATTATCAAAGAAACGTCCAAGGGGTACATGGTATCATCTGACTTGGTTTTAATCAAGCAAGTGCTTCTATTACTCGTCATTATGTAGTAGTAATCGTTATCTAATTCAACTCGATGTCCTGCTTTACATAGTTGGCCTACACTTATGAGATTGTGTTTGAGACCTTCCAAAAAAAGAAACCTTTTGGATAGAGAAATTACTTGTAGTAAGAACACCATAACCTCGGATTATCCCATTCGCGTTGTTGCCGAAGGTGACATTTCCACCATTACAGATTGGCCTGAAATCCGGAAGGTATTCTAACCTTCTGGTCATGTGCAAGGAGTAGGCATTGTCAATTAACCACTCCTCTTATTGTTCCTCCTTGCAAATTACCTAAAATTTACACGATTAGTTTGGGGATCCAAACAAGTTTGTAGCCCGGGGCAACAGATGGATTTTTCATAGATGCATGAACCAAGGTTGCAGGGACATATTTTATGTTAACTTTTAGTCCTAGACCTGGGTACTTGTGAGCTTTTGGAGTGTTGTGAGATTTTGAAAAGTTACGAGACTTCTGAAAAGTACGATGTCTTTGAAAAGTGTGAGATATTTGACAAGTACAAGATTTTTGAAAAGTATGATTTTTTTGAAAAGAACATGGTGGGGCTCTAGATGACCCCTTTTAACAATGAAATTCAGATGATGAGTTTTTGACATTTACCCTGACATTACTTTTGGTCAGCGGTCTGAAGGATGTGGGATTAGTCTTGGGACCAGTCTGCGTGCTTTTTGTTTTTAAAATAGTGCGATTTGCACATGTGAATCTCTTAGGATGTGATTTTGCAAGAGGTTGAGGTGACTTGAAAAGTGTTAGGGTTGGAAAAATCCCTTTCCATTTTGGGTCGTTTAAGGAATAGATTATAAAACCCTTGCTTCGAAAAGACTTTACATACTTTTGGATTTTGTCAGAAAACATTGAAAAGGTTTTACGAACTGTACATTCCTTTTTGATTGATTTCTTGTCTATCGTGATTTTAGAAATATAGTTTAAGAAAACAGGCTTTTCTGGACTCTTGGGATTTGAAATTTTGACTTGTCTTTTGTTTTTCAAAAAGGTTTTCCATTTTTTATCACGAGATTGAAATTCTTCTTTGAAAGCCACTTTTGCCACTGTTTTTGGAGAACCGTAATCATTGAGATTGAACTGCGGTTTCTTAAAGTCTTTAGATTGTTTTTGAAAACAAGGGCTAGACTAATTTGAACTAGACGATTCAGGGTTCTTGGAGCATTGACCATACTCAAAATTTTCTATGGCCAACTCCTGCTGGATTGGCTTAATGGTTACTGAACTCTTAACTGTGGTTTGCAGTAAGGAAGATTGGACTACCGCAGATAAGTTTGAGTCGTGGGACATTTGATGAGAGGAAATAAGTCAGAATGCGGTTCAGGACTGCAGTGAGAGGAACTATGATCTGAAGGCAAAGACATAAAGTTCATAAGAGCCTAGGGTCCTTCCATAAGAATTTCTTCATCAACCACTGATGACGTTTGAGAGTCGGGATCAATTATGTCAATGATAGGGATTTCATCAGTTGGGTGATTCAAAAATTCAGGAAGAATTTCCTCAATAACACAATTATTGCTCTGATTATGAAGTCGACCAAAGTGGGCTCTGATGTCTTCTGGAAAGGTTTTGTCATAAACTGGGAAATAGAACTCTCGGTCTAGAGGGACATATGGATGGTCTTTATTAAATCGGGGTGATGAATCCTTTTGCGGTAGATTACCCATTGGACCAACCCCAATTATAAGTTTTTTCTACGGTTCCATTATTCACAAGGTTCTCAGTAGCTTCATTTTCATCAAACAACTTTCTATTAAAAGATTTAAACATACATTTTCAGTTTGAGCTAAATCTCTTTGATTCAAAGCTATTCCGAACTGCATTTCACATAACATTCTAACATCTTTTTCTAACACTAGATCCCTTTCTAACATAGCTACTTTGAGCCTCTTGTCCTCCAGACCTCCTCTTACCTGAAAAATCTCTTGGGATGCTATATTCTTCTCATCTAAGGCTTTGTTATAGTCTGAAAGGATGGCAACACGCGTGTCATTTGGGTTATCTATGAATGGTTGACAATAATGCATCCTATAATTAAGAGTTTGGATCATGAGTTTTACCTGTTCGACGATGCTCAGTGTTCCATCATTAGCCATATAGCAGTAGTTCTTTTCTAGCTTGGTTGACCCATCCTCATCCGCAGTTGCCAACTTGCAGATCTTGCCTTTCCCTTGATGTTGTTGACATCTCCATCCTCATCTCCAGACGACCACACTTGATGGTCTCTCTTGACTTGGGCTACGTATGCCCTTGCTTTCTCCTTTCCCTCTATTTCTAAGCCATTCTAAGGTAGAATGCTCTGTATGTCACCACATTGGCTTTGCAATTTTGGTCAAAGTGATATTCATTATTGCACTTGTGACAAATTATGACATCAGATTTGTCTTCATTTGAAATATCGGAGTCATTCTTGACAGGCTGTGGTGCCTCTTTGGATTGAGTGTTTTGAGGTTGCGGTGATCGATGAGAGTTTTTGGGATATCAAGAGTGATTATTTTAAGTATTGAAGTTGCGGTTAAAGGGCATTTTAGTAAATTGCTAATTCTTGCGAAAAGTTAAGGGTGGCAGCCTATTGAATTGTTGGCTTAACAGGGCAATGGCGTTTTGGAATTCTTCTTCATCATCATACTCTAAGTCAGCTTTGTATGACTGTGAAGGGTTTTCATACATATGAGAGTAACATTGAGTATACGGTGCTTATGCTATAAGAGTGAGTGGTCCTCCGAAGTCAGTATATTCCTTGAGTATGGTTGATTCTTGTGCTTGTAATTCACCATAGAGCTTGTACGGAGATAAGGAGTGAATTTTTCGATCTTCCTGGACTATCATCTTATCCATAGTCCAGTGCCTACCCAAACCATTTAGAAACTGAAGATTTGTCTCATGGTTACTTCGGACGATGCCAGCAGTTGACAACTTTGTGACAATCAAGTTGAACCTTTTGAAGGAGTTTTCCAAACTTTCACAAGCATGAGCTTTGAAGTTGTTGAATTCATTGAGTGCAATTGTGAGCTTCTTATCTTGATCTTGTTCTGAACCTTCATACAAGTTCTTGAGGACATCCTAAATTTCTTTGGCTGACTTGCAATTTATGATGATGTCGAAGTTGTCAGGAGCAACTCCGCATGATATCTCATAAAATGCAACAGCATCATTTTCCATCTTATCAATATCATCTTTGGTAGGACGATTCATGGTTGTTTGACCTCTTCCTAGTTTGATTTGAGCATCGTCGGTTTGAATCGGGGTAAGAACAGGAACATAAGGTCCTTCTTCTACGGATCTCCATTCATCTCTTCTAAGTCTCCTTAGATATCGATCCATTCTTTGAGACTAGTGATGATACTCGTTTGCCACTAGTATTGGGGCTCTATTCGAACTACCAACACTGTTGGAAACATTGACTAGATAATGCTTGTGCCATATTTCCTTGTTTTGAAATGTTTTTTTGTTTTTTTTTTTTTTTAAGAAATGAGCTTCAATCGTATAGAATGCCTTTTAAAATAAGAGTTTTTGTTTAAAAAACAACCACTTTGGCTCTGATATCAATTGTTGAGAGGAAAACTTGAGAAACACACTTGAACAAACATTAGTACAAGTAATATTGCGGAATAAAGTTAAATTCAAATAATCATAAAGCTCAACCATAATAAGTTAAAGGTTAGATAGTTAGATAATTAGATAGTTAGGTGCGAAAACATAAGGAAATATAAATGACAACAAGTATTATATCAAGTATACACTTAAGTTGATTTTTAATGAGGATTGCAAACAATCCAAGTTAGTGAGTACGATCAAACTTAGTGATGAAGTAAAAAAATGACTTGCTCTGAAGAGAGATTACGATCAGATAAGTTCTGAAGTTACTTGAAGATGAGAGAGTAAGAAGAGAGTAAGATAAGATTTGAGATTCAAGAGATGTGTCTTTTTCATTCTGAAAGATAACTTTATTTATAGAGTCTCGAAGGTTACAAGTCTTATATGTTCTAATGTGGTCATGCAAGGCACACTCGACAAAACGATGTAAAGACAAAAGATAACAGATAAAACTAAAACTAAGTATTGAAAATATGACTGCGGATACGGTTCTTGATTACGGTTGAGATAATGATTGCTGATCTAGAGATGGTTTCGGATTTGTCAAGTTTAAGAGGGTCACTTATATGGTTTAACAACAATATATGAATAATTAAATTCATATAACAAGTTAAATTGTCAAATATATAAAAAAAATACCTAAATAAAAAAAAACGACAAATATGATTACCTTATAAGTAATTTTTCCATTCAAAATTTGGAAGGTTCATAACGGTCGGTCATTTTACATGTGACTTAAACCAAAAGTGCAACCTAAACATATCATACATAGTTTAAAAAATTAAAAGCATAGTTAGGACATACACGCTAACAACCCAAATGCCAAAATACAAAACCAATCGTGCAATTTACTTTAAAAGAAATCAACTAACTCAAGTTGGAAGTTTGTTTTTGCATTCAACTCACGTTAAAAGTTAAAGCCACGTGAAAGTATTAATTCATAGGGTGGATGTTACTATGTTATTGCATAAATGCATGAGATGCTCGATAATATCTCCAATACTGATTTTTCGCAAAAAGATTGGCTCTCTATGTTCCTAGTTTCCGACGAATGGAATTGGTAGCAGTACATGTGGCTATCACAATCGTACCAAATTCGGCAGATGTCGAGGAGAAGAGAGAGAAAGACTGAGTCGCACTCTGCCCCCGTCAATGATCACAATATATAACCACTCGTTAACCTACCCCGAAATGTGTAAATTGTTTGAATGTGATTGTGATGCGATCTCTCTCCCCGCTTATTTCTCCCTTTCTAACTCGCTGCAAATCATAATATGTGATAGGCATTGGTTCAGAAATGGACAAAAGACTGACGTACGAAAACACCATGGGAAACCTAAAGGACGACGCTAAAAAGATGGACCCTTTGTTCCCAAGGCTTCATATCAGTGATGCAGAAAAAGGAGCTCAACGGACCTCTGCAAGAAACAAGATGGCTATTTCACAACAGCCCGTCTTACCTCTTTCGACCAGTGGTTTGGTTCCGACTTATCACGTGAGTCTTAACTTTCTTTACACAATGTACGTAGATTAGATAGATTTTTAAGTTAGATATTCGTCGGTGTTTCTTACTCGTGTGTCTTTGGTTCGTTAATCCGTGGTGATACAGGATGCAAGCTACAAACGAAGTGTGTTTTCATCGTTTGGAAGTTCATGTGGCTCCACAAGATTAGCTACACGATTTGATTCTTATCGCTCGAGTGGTATCAATTTGAATATCTCACTAACGACCGTTAAACAAACAATAGAAACTACAAATTGTCAAACGCTATGCAATACCGGACAACAAAAACAGTGTGATTATCGTTTGTTTAAGCCTCAAGATCAAAAAACAACAAAAAGCGCTTCAATCAAGAAGCTTGAAGATGAGGAGGATGAAGATTATCTACTTCCAAGTCTATCATTCGGGAATGTGAATAGAGGAAAGTTAGCAACCGCTAGCCCTAACTGCACAATTAAACAGGAGAACAAGCTAGATAATGTGATGATTGAAAACATTGCTAAAGAACATGCGCCATTTTATTCTAATAGAGCTCGGTTTTCAGAATCATTAAGCACAGAACTTTCGCCCTCGACTCCAATGAAGAGAAGTATTGTCGTAGATGAACCAGAGATGCTACACGATTCCACAATAAGGTTGCCACTGAAAAGAAAAAACTTTCAAGAACCCATGATGTGCTACGAAGATGGTATGTCCGTATGCCCGTTTTCAGAAGAAAGGAAAACCGATACAAATATTCATGAAGTTCTTCCTCCAATTGATAACGGGTCGTTACAGATAACCCCGGATGAAATTTCACATATTATTGGTCATGAAGAGTATTGCAAAGCAAGAAGAACTATCATTCAGTAAGCATCACTAAATTTAGTGCATGTTTAGTGGTTATACCAGAAATCTTGAAGCCTAATTATGTGTTCTTTGCCATGATATTTCAGGCAACAAAGAATTTTCCAGTCGCAACTCTTCGAGTTGCATAGATTGATCAAGGTACAGCACATATCATGATTATATAAACACATACATTCTAAATGAGGCGAGTTTAACTAACGCTTGAACAGGTGCAGAAACGACTTGCAGAATCAGCTCATTTTCTACTCGAAGATCGCGGCTATCAACCAAAGAACATGCCATCTGAAGGCATTTTCCGTGTAGATAATACGATCAGAACACAGTTTCATACAACAAATGATACAGACAAAAGATATGATCCAAGTTTAATCGACCTCCCACAACCTTCCACCGTCAATGGTGGTAAACAACCACCCTGGTGTCTTCTTCCTCCACCGGGAAACCAATGGTTGGTGCCCATGAGATCACCTTCCGAGGGACTAGTGTATAAACCCTACACAGGACCTTGTCCTCCACCTGTTGGTCTCATGGCCCCGCTCTATGGTATGAGCCTACCACCTACAAGTACAGACTTTAGCAATGGCGCCTACCCACAAGGAATTGGTGTATTTCCCAATAATCCACTTTATACATCTTATGGATTGCCTTCGATAACAAAGGGTTTTTGTTCACCATCAATGGAAGACAACATGAAATATAACAAACCTGTTACAACCTCATGTAATACACTAACTCTAGAGAAATGGCCAACAATAGGTGAGATTCATAATCTGCATGAGAGTAAAGATAGTGATATGCAGGGAAGCAGTAATGGAGGAGACGAACTTCCTCTTTTCCCTACTACACCAATGGTTCAAGATTCAGATCGATGTACAGAGGAAAAGGGGTTTGATGAGAGGATAAAAGTGATCAAAGTTGTACCCCATAATCCTAAATTAGCATCTGAATCGGTTGCTCGTATATTTCAGTTCATACAAGAGGAAAGGAAACAAAATGAATAGCGATCGATACATGTAAATTATCAATTTTTGTTAAACTATTTTCAATAAATTCTCAAAGGTAATAACATGAAATTGAGGGTTGCTTCGGGTGAGTTATTTATTCTATTGTCGTATCAAAGTTATATATAATTAAATTAATTTATAATATTTTGGATCAAATGATTTTCATCATCGGATCAGGTTTTTTTTTTTTTTTTTTTTTTTTTTTAAAAAAACAAGATTATCGGATCAGTTGATGGTTATTAATAGACTAAGTTTTTATAATAAAGTCAATGTGGTATCTTTTTAAACCCTTGTTTTTAACACTATAAAATACTACTAGTGACTAGTTTTTTAGTTGCAACCAAAAATAGATCTAGTCCCTAAGAGCATTTACAATAGAGATCGTGTATATAACTCTACAATATTTATTCTATAGTGCATTTAATTCTATAAATTTTAATGCAATACTATATTTTTAATAGTTAAAAAGTTTCTTTTTCCTATTGAACTTGAAGAATTCAATGGTCATTGAACTATATATTCATTGAATGACAACATGATATCCCACAATAATATAGTTTAATCTATTGAATACCAATTTGGCATACCATTTCATTCAACTCTCTCATCAAACTATGCATTATGAATGCTTTAACTAATAACATCTTTAGTCATCACTAGTTTATAACCCGTGAGAACTACGGTTATAAAATTAATTAAACTTTTATATTAAAAGATCAAAATTACTAATCAATTATTTTAAATAAATTATTACTTAAGAAATACTTTTTTAGTTATATAGAATTATAATTGTTGATTTAAACAAATATGTGAAGTTATATCACCTTATAATCTGTATTAATTTTATTTTATTTTTTAATTTAATGTTATTAATTTAATATAATTAGAATGAAAATTTTTAAAATTTGAAATTTAAAATGGAGAATCAATTATTAATTAATTTAATGTAATAAGAGTGAAAATTTTAAATTTGATTTTTGAAGTTGATAATTAATAATTTGACAAGTGGCATGATATATTACATATAGTTATTAATAAGAAATTCTAATAGTATGACTCTTTTCAATAAGAAAATAAACCTATTCATTTATTAAAATAGGAACATATATTAAATGATCAATGAATTTTGACCATTCTACAATTTTAAAGACAACATCTACAATTGGTTGTTGTTTACCCGTCACAAAATTATAGAATAAAATTAAAATGTTTTTCTTAATATCATAGCAAGTAACTAGGAATAGTGATCTTGAAGCTTAATAACAAAAAAAATTGTGTTTATTGTAGATTTACTGAAAAATAGTGGCCATTATGTATTATTTATTTTTGAACTCATCTAAACGTTATGTAGAAACATGATGGCGCAATATTGGGCTACAAATGAAAGGACGTGACCATAAAATTGTCTGTATAAAATGATAAATGTTTCCAAAATTTATAGATTTAGCATCTAAAGTTGTTTTCGGACTTTATGGGGTATATAAGGTAAGTTACCACTTATGCTTTTAGTCTCTTTTAACATCTAATATCCAGTATACCATGCAATAATGACCATTTAAACAAAAAAATCTCACATTATGCCCTTATAAAGCTAAAAAAAATAAGTTTCACCAGTACAAAAATAACTTATTGCTATGCTTTTTAGAAACAGAGTTGTCACGGATTTAGTTAATTAATTGTCACGAAAGATCATTAATCAAATTTCGATAATGTTTTGTCGTTGTTTTACATAAAATATGATAAATACTAGCCACTAGTTACGATAGATCATTGTCACTATAAGTATTATATATATATATATATATATATATATATATATATATATATATATATATATATATATATATCTTTACTATCTTATAAAAGAAATCTAACTATTTCTAAAAATAGATTGATTATAATAATAATATTTTTTAAGACGTCCAAATGATGAAGCTGATAGTACAAGTAATCATTAATAAAATAATATTAAATTTTAATCATATTTTGAATTCAAATATTTATCATCAAATCTCCTTATATTTCTCAACAATTTGATATGGTTCCCTCAAATCTCGGATTCATTCAAATTTTGAACCCTTTTAGATATCCTTAAATTTAACATGTTGATTCAAATATCCCTCCAATCGTATATACCTCTTTGCTCCCTCCTCTGCTATAAAGCTCACCGTCCAGGAACAAAAAATGACTTCATTTCCCAAATAACACCATAGTTTGATTATTTTGTCTTCGACATGTACTTTCTTTTGTAACATAACATTTTTGTAGAGGAAACATATCACCGCAAAAATTTACACGCTCCGCCGCTTTGCGCGGGTACACTACTAGTATATATATATATATATATATATATATATATATATATATATATATATATATATATATATATATATATATATATATATATATATACATATATATATATATATAAGTGTCTTATGTTACCGGTTAAATTTCATATGTTTGTTTAAACTTAATGATTTTTAATATGAAAGAATCGTATTTTATTATGAAATTTAAAAAATTAAAACATATAACTAAAAATATTTTATAATCACGTTTTTATTTTTATGTATATCTAAATGTAAAAATAGTAACAATAAAATAAAAATAAAAAACATTTGATTATAAATGTTTTATTTTGATAGTGTTGAAAAACGAAACCAGTATTTAAAGGGAGTGTTGAAAAGTGAAACCAATATTTGGAGGAAGTTGAATTTTTTCCTCTAACTAAAAATTTTCAATTTTCCATCTTTGCTAAAATTTTAATATTTTTTTCCTCTTTTCTTTAAAAAATTAGACCTAATCCCTCGTATCTTTTTTTGTGTCGTCGTTTGTTCTTTACCCTTAAACCCTTAGATTGATCAGTTGTTCTCTCCACTCTATCTCCCTTGTGTCACCTTCGTTCTATGTGTAGGCTGAAAATGACCTCATCTCCATTCTGCATCTCCACCATTACATCTTCACCATGTAACATCACAAAAACCTTAGTGAAATTGTTTTATTTTCAAAGTCGTTTCATAAAAACCATGTAACAATCAACGATTGTTTTCTCAAAATATCATAACAAAGTAGAGTATCAAAACATCTCTCAAATCATAAATATATATATATATATATATATATATATATATATATATATATAGGATGATTACAATCAAACATTTATCTTTCCTCAATCATCTGATGTACCCAAAACATTAAAATCCACAACTGTAAGTCAAAGCTTAGTGAGTTCCACAAAGTACTCCACACAAAATTACAATACATGCATATAGGGTTTGTTGGTCGGTGGCCTCAACCTAACCATCCAGGGTTTGTTGGCATATCACATCAACCCAACCATCCAGGGTTTGTTGGCATATTGCCTCAACCCAACCATCCCAGGTTTGTTAGTCTACTGCACAAAGCAGTACCACCTCAACCAAACCATCCAAGTTTTGTTGGCTTCCCGCCTCAATCCAAGCACTAATATGTCGACATATGTAACATATAAAAAAATAATAAGAAAATATAAGTAATCAAAGTATTCAAACAGATCTACCAATATAACAGGTCACTACAATATAGCAACATCCTATATACTAAGATACATAACATAACCTAATGAGTCAGTATTGATGTCTTTAACCTACGAGTACAGTGAGTAAAACTCAACTCAAAGTCCAGAAGATAGTGGAACTGATCACTGCTCCAAATACAGGATCTACAGGTCACCTATAGAACAAAAATGAACCAAACCCCAATCTACTACTCAAATTACTCTATTTGACCTAAAGTCAAACTTGGTCAACGATCAAAGTCAACAGTCAATGATCAACAGTCATAGTAAACATTCCAAGGACACTCAGTCAGTCGTCACATCTTGGCCATCTGTTGGTCACGTCATGACCTAATAAAACAGATAGTCATAATTATTCCATTGTCACGTGGTAACATCCAAGTTGCTAGGTTGTGACGACGCTCTAGAGAGAAATGAGCTATAAGCTCTTAATCTATTAAGCCTTGCAATTAGGACCTTCCAGAAAGCTTTCTCTATCCTAAAACATTATAAAAATTATAGCTTTTTGGACATGCATGTCCTAAACAAAATCTAGGACAAAACAAGAAAAAAAATGGGGTTAGGATCTCATGTAAGGGTCCCAAAACCTAACCATACTTCAGATCCAATGCTTATTTCATCAAAGGAACACTGGAGATCCATAAAGTTGGCAACTTTATGGACCCCCATCACTATATCAAGCCTAGACATGAAATACGGTGCATATAAACCTAGATCTAATCTTATAGACTCATAAAGCATTGAACTTGAAAACTTAAAAGGGTCCAGAAGGTTTGAAAATAGATGATGGTGAAGCTTGAATGCTAAGTTAATGCACAAATCTCTATCTCTCCTTCTTCTTGACTAGCAAAACACCCAAATGGAGCTCCTAATCGACTATGGAGGATTAGGTTTTCATGCGGGAGTGTTAGGAGGTGATGGAGGCTGATGGTAGGCTAACCCTGGCCCTCACTTCCTTTAAATAAGGGAGAAATCCCCAAAATTAGGGTTTGTCTCGCAACAGGTATCACGTCGAGACTCATAAGTGGTCTTGTCGTGACTCCTAAAGATATATGTGTTTCTTACAACATGGTCACGTCGTGACACATAAGTGCTAATGTCGTGACTAAGGTTAAACTCCAAATAATTTGATCAGATATTCAGAAAAGTGTTAGGAGGTGATGGAGGTTGATGGTAGGCTAACCCTGGCCCTCACCTCCTTTAAATACGGGAGAAATCCCCAAAATTAGGATTTGTATCGCAATAGTTCTCGCATTGAAACTCATAAGTGGTCTTGTCGTGACTCCTAAAGATATATGTGTTTCTTACAGCATGGTCACGCCATGACGCATAAGTGCTAACGTCTTGACTAAGGTTAAATCCAAATAATTTGATCAGATATTCAAAAAAGTGTTTACCTGGAACTAGGTGTTACACACCACCACTTCCACCATCT